ACTCTGGGTCTGGGCACTGTCCCTCAGCTCTTCAGCTCAAGGCTAGCACTCTACCACTTGAGCCACAGTGCCACTTCCGGCTTTTTTCTTTTTACTTATGTGGTGCTGAGGAATCGAACCCAGGGCCTCAGGCATGCAAGGCAAGCACTCTACCATTGAGCCACCTTCCCAGCCCTTCTGTTTTTTTCTTGTTAATTGGAGTCTCACAGACTTTCCTGCCTGGGCTGGCTTAGAACCTTGATCCTCAGATCTCAGCCTCCTGAGTAGCAAGGATTACAGGCATGAGCCACTGGTGCTCAGCTCCACCATGTTATTCCTTTTTTTTTTTTTACCACTGAGCCACCTTCCCAGTCCATCCTTTTTTTTTTTGTTGGTCCTGGGGCCTGAACTGGGCCTGGGCACTGTCCCTCAGCTCTTTAGCTGTATACTAGCGCTTTACCACTTGAACCTCAGCCCCACTTCTGGCTTTTTCTGCTTATGTGGTGCTGAGGAATCTAACCCAGGGCCTCATGCATGCAAGGCAAGCACTCTACCATTGAGCCACCTTCCCAGCCCCCACCATGTTATTCTTAAGTAGGAATTTCAGAAGAAAGACATAATCTATAACTCTTCAACTCTCAGAAATGTCTTTCAATGATAATAGCCCCCAGAAATTAAAAATATCACTAATACAAGACAGACATCACAGCTCATTTTGTATTTTAACAGGATAATGTCTCAGAGTGGCCAGACCAGAAGAGGAAAGCTGGGGAGCAAAATACTCAAGGCAACAAAATAGAAAGTGTCCTGCATTTTCCTGATGAGAACTGAGGCATCACACTGGCCCTTTCCCTCTTCTAGATCACTTAGAGAGATCTGGAACCTAATTCTCTTCTCAGTGCATCAATGAATCTGTTGTCATGCACCTCGTGATTGAAGAAAGAGAAGTGGCTTTTCTTTTCAGATCCTACATGGATCAGTTTAAAAGACACATTTATATACAAAGAACTCACTGACAGTATTTTTCCAACTCTATTTTACAGAATAAGGTCTCACCACCTGACAGTCACTTTTTCCCTCATCATCAGAAAACTGGATTTTTAATGAAATGTCTACTTTTGAGAAAGCTTGGTATTAATGTGCAAAACTCAGAGATAAGCTTTCTGTATTTCTTTGCTTTTCTTCCAATTCTGTCTTCCTTTTTGGAGAAAGATTTGTATTGAGGAGCTGGGAAGGTGGCTCAGTGGTAGAGTGCTTGCCTTGCATGCATGAGGCCCTGGGTTCGATTCCTCAACACCACATAAGCAGAAAAAGCCAGAAGTGGTGCTGTGGCTCCAGAGGTAGAATGCTAGCCTTGAGCTGAAGAGCTGAGGACAGCGCCCATACCCAGAGTTCAGGCCCCACGACTGACAAAAAAAAAAAAAAGATTTGTATTGAGGCTGGTCTCGAAACTCTTGGAATTTAAATGATTATCTCATGAGTGAAGTAATGCACCAAACCTGACTCTGCAGTTCAAATAAATTATGATGTTGAACATATTCATAACTCATTTTGCCTTTGTTTTGTGTTACAAAGGTTTGAATTCTAGGCTATATGCTTGCTAGACACTCTAACATTTGTGTCACACCTCCAGCCCTCATCTTGTCCTTATATGCATAAGTATTCTTTCTCTGCTTTCCTACCGTCCCACTGCTAAATTCTTACCTTTTAAGACCACACCCAAGTTTCCATATTTCTCTAAAGCCTTTCTTTACTGACTCTAGGAACTATTTGTGGTTTCTTTCTTTTAAAAAAGTGTAAAATGGGCACTGGGTATGTGGCTCAGTGGTAGAGTGCTTGCCTAGCATGCATGAAGCCCTGGGTTCAACTCCTCAGCACCACATACACAGAAAAAGCCAGAAGTGAAAAAAAAATAAAAAATAAAAAGCCAGAAGTGGTGCTGTGGCTCAAGTGGTAGAGTGCTAACCTTGAGCAAAAGAAGCTCAGGGACAATGCCCAGACCCGGAGTTCAAGCCCCAGGACTAACTCCCCCTCCTACAAAAAAAAAAAAAAAAAAAGTGCAATATTTTCTGCAAATTTTTCTCTAGTATCCCCAAGTCATTTACCACTGTGCCAATTCTGAAGATATACCATCAAAAAAAAAGCTATGGGGCTGTGAATGTGGCTTAGTGATAAAGTGCTTGCCTGGCCTGGCATGCATGAAGCCGTGGGTTCAATTCCTCAGTGCACATGAACAGAAAAAGCCAGAAGTAGTATTGCGGCTCAAGTGGTAGAGTGTTTGCCTTGAGCACAGAGAGGCTCACAGACAGTACCCAGGCCCTGAGTTCAAACTCCAGGACTGAAAAAAAAAGAAAGAAAGAAAAAAAAAAAAGAAAAAGAAAAGCTATGGGCAGGGTGCCAATGGCTCATGCCTGTAATTGTAGCTGCTCAGGAGGCTGAGATCTGAGGATCCCAGTTCAAAGCCAGCCAGGCAGGAAAATCGGTGAGACTCTTATCTCCAATTAACCAACAGAAAGCTGGCAGTGGCACTGTGCCTCAAGTGGTAGAACAAGGGCCTTGAGCTGAAGTGCTCAGGAAGAGTGCCCAGACGCTAAGTTCAAGCCCATGACCCACAGGAAAAAAAAGCCGTGGATTGGGCATAGTGAGATATGACTGTTACCTCAGCTACTCAGAAGGATGGGGAGGGCAAGAGGCTCACAAGTTAAAGACCAGCTCAGGCAAAGTTAGTGAGTTTTAACTTAAAAACAAAGCATAAGCAGGACACCGGTGGCT